CGGGCGCCGGCAGGCTGGTGCGGGGGGCAGAGGGCGGGGTGGAGCCGCGGGCGCCGGCAGGCTGGTGCGGGGGGCAGAGGGCGGGGTAGAGCCGCGGGCGCCGGTAGGCTGGTGCGGGGGTCAGAGGGCGGGGTGGAGCCGCGGGCGCTGGCAGGCTGGTGGCGCGCGATACTGTGCCGGAGGAGCGAGCAGCTCGCGGACGTGAGGCCCGCAGCGGTCCCGGCATGGTCACCGCTTCCTCGCCGCCTTCACTGTGCTACCATGCCGTGATCCCTCCTGCCCACGTGGACACGTCACTTGTGCTGGTGAAGCCACCACGTAGAGGCTTTTAAACCTTACAATACATTGCAATGCATTGGGCAAATCCAATAATCCGTGTTACGAGGAAAGGACATAGGCACACTCTGGCAAAACCGTGACCGTTGCAAGCCTCTGGCGGTGGAAACACGACCCCGTCAAATGACGTAAAAACAGCACCCCAACCCCTCCGCCGCATGCCCACACCAACTTCACTCGCCCGGACCGATCAAGAAGAGCTCGGTGGCCTCTGCCAGGCGTCGCCAGCGGCCGGCCCTGCTCAGCACTCACCGGTGTAGTGGCCGCTCTGCAGGTCCTTGCCGTGGTGGTTGCAGACGCCGTAGAGCTCGTAGACGCCGCCGGCGCGGCCAGCGGCGCCGGCCGGCCGCTGGTGCCGCTTCCACGGCGACCAGGCGCTGAGGAGGCCCAGGCCGGACGGGGCCGCCTCGCCGCCGGCGGCGCCCGGCCGCGTCGCCAGGTGCTGGCCCATGTCCAGCCCGTGCAGCGGGAAGTCCACCAGCGTCGTCAGCTTCGATGTGCTCCGCTGGTTGTTCGTCTGCGGCCGGCGCGGCACGCCGTGATTTGGGAGGGCGCGGGGTTACGGGCGGGGGTGGGGGCACACGCGAGCTTTTGACTGGTTGCTTCGCTCGCCGTCGTTCATAAGGTTGTGATGGCGGGAGGCTCCAGGTGCACAGTTCCAGTGCCGTGTGCGGTTCGTAGGTGGTGCGGAGGTGACAGGGGGAGGGGCTGGCTACGGCCTTAGTGTAGCTTATTGCCTTATCTAACATGATCATTATCAAGTGTTTTTGTCACACCAAGGCATCACCCTGGCTCGGGTGTATTGTTCTAACGGCAATAATAGAATGACACGTGAATCATCCGAACGTTTGGACACAGCCTGCCCGACCTTCCGGCCACAACAGACGGGATACACAGCCATCGCCACAACGCCGTCTTCGAGCCCCAAACATGCGCCTCTCGGTCGCCACAGATCATTGTAAACACCGCTTCCCTGCAGTTCCTCTCTCGATCTCCGCTGTCCCACATTGATGTCCCGTCTCGGCGCTGGCCGCTCGGGCGACCAGTCCCTGTCGGCGGCCGTCTGCAGTGCGTGGCGCGCGCGCCGCGTACCTGTCTGAAGCGCTTCAGGTGGATGACCAGGATGTCGGGGATGGACCAGAGACTGAGCCGCTTCTCGGCCTGCTGGCTGGACTCGCAGCCGGGACACCGCCAGCTGTCCTCGGGACCCAGCCGCTCCGACCTGGCGCACACGCCGCCGCCGGCCGTCAGCGTCACGCTCACACCGCCGGCGCCGCACTGGCCGGCCGCAGACACCTGCTGACGGCTGCTGGTGCTGCTGCGTCGTGGAGCAATGCTTACGTGCTTCACGGAGGTACGTACGGGAGGTACGTCCCGTCACGCCGACCGAGCCACGAGGAGGAGGGAGTTGACCGCGCGGCGCGTTACACGTTCTTGCCGCGTCCAAGCCGGCGGTATCAGACCACAAGTTTAACACCAGATCGACACCCAATGAGTCAGTCGCAATCACGAAACACATCCTAAAATACAATGCTGGTCTTCCTTTGGATTTCATAATGCCCGAGTGAGACTGGGGGTCGGAGTTGGGGTTGGGGTGGGAGGCCGGAGCCGGGGATCGGGAGCCAGGGCCGGGGCCGGGGCGTGGGCCGTGGGCCGTGGGCCGTGGGCCGTGGGCCGTGGGCCGTGGGCCGTGGGCCGGGGCTCGGGGTCCGGGGGCCGGGACCAGGGGTCGGAGTCAGGGGTCAGCAGCCCTGTCCACTAACTTGGTGTACAGCTGGAGGCACTCCTGCAGGGTGACCGGGCTGAGTGAGTGGCGCGCCACCTCGCGCACCGTCCGATGCTCCTCCACGTAGTCCTCCGTCGAGGCCAGCACACTGCCGGACGCGCCGGGTCGTCAGCACACGCGCCGCGCCAGCCGACCGAGCCGACGGGCGGCAGGGACACCCGCGAGCCGCCGCCGGCACGGGGCAGCCTAGCCCGCGGCACCGGAGCGCTCACGGCCACCGGACGCCCTGTGCCGGCGAGGTCGAGTCCGCTGCCGCCGCCGGGCACGAACATACAGACGTCCAACAGAAAACGAAACACGCCGTTGGCCACGCCACCCGATATGACTCGCGCGACCACACGCCTTTAGGTAGACTGGCACGCCGCCTTTCGGTCATACCGAGAACTTGTCACTTTACAACAATACAACCGTCAAGCTGAGGACATAAGCTCGCGGACACCGGTAAACCACTGAAAACAGCCCGGTCAGGTCAGTGGCGAGTCCCTTGGTGCGGAAACTCCAGAGCATCATCCGGGAGAGCACAACACCAATGTTCCGACATTCACTCAGCAAGCACCAGCCAGAGAGTCAACACGTCCGCCTCTTCTGATCACCGCACCTTTCGGTAGGCCGTGACGTCACATAACACGCCCCTTTCCCTCACCTGTCGATGGCGTCCTGCTCCCACTCCAGCAGGAGCGTCACGTGCGGCGGCCCGACGCTGGCCGACAGCGCCTCCTCCACCGGCTCGGTGAAGAGCGGGTGCTGCAACCGTGTGGTCCACCGGCACGCCGTCCACCACGCGCACCGTGAACAGCGGCACCTGTGGTGCGCGCGCGCAGTTAGCGTCACCAGAGACACCTGGCGGCCTGGCCGGCAACGGCCCACAGCAGCGCCCGCGGCGCGCCCGCGGTCAGCGTCACCAGAGACACCTGGCGGCCTGGCCGGCGACGGCCGACACGACTGCCAGGCTCGGCTTGACACGGCTGCCAGGCCGGTGCTCGTTCACAAGTCACCGCAGGCGCGGCCGCAGCGCCGCCACCGTGTGCTGCACCACAGCCGGCACGCTCACCTCCTGCGCCAAGGCGAGCACGTCCGGCTTGACGCTGGCGGCCATCTCCTTCAGCATCAGCTTCTGCATGTCCTCGTAGAGCACGTCCCGGCTGACCTGCATCACGTACGGCGAGCCGAACCTGCCGCCGAGCGTGCGTCAGCGTCATCAGCGTCAGCCGAAGCTCGGACCTCCGCGGCCGCCGGCCTCGGCACGTCGCCGCGCCGCCGACAGGGCCACATGGGCTGCTGGCCGGCGGACCGTCCCGGACCACCGTCATCAGCCGGTCAGTGCGTCGGAGCAGGCGGCAGTGGGCGGCGCGCTCGGACGCGGACGGGAGCCGGCCAGCGACGGCGGGGGCCCGCACCGCCTCACCCACGGGGCTCGGTACATCGGGACCCCACGTTCAACGGCACCGCACCTCGGTGTTGTCCTGTTACTGCACGATGATGGCTATGGCGTGTTTGTAACGGTTCGTGGTGTTTGGACAACATTTTTGCACGCAGCAAAGCGTATGTTTATGCGTCTCACGGACTGAGCAACTTATGTTTCGGTCCAAAAGTTCGGAGACGGTCCTCTCTGGCCAGAGGTCATACACAACTCCAGCCACTGTGGGTATTTCATGAGCGAGTGTCAGGGAAAGCAACAGTCCGCATCCGTCTGCGACACGGGCTACAGTGTAGCCACGCAGTGTTACAGGCTACAGTGGCCACTGTGGCCTCACGGACTACAGTGGCAGCCACGCAGTGCGCCACATAACATTCACCATCGAGTGCTGTACAGATGCCTAGTGAAGCTTGCCCGTAAAGTGCACTGTCCCTAACCTCGCGAAAAAAGCCAAGGTCCCATCTTGAGGGCGGGCGCCTGAGCCCCGAGCTGTCGCGCGGGCGCGCGACACCACTGACCCCGGCCCGACGGCGGCAGGCCGGCCAGCGTGCTTCGGGCAGGGTTCAGCGGCCCCGGACCACGTCCCCCCCCCCCCAATCCCCCCGCCCCCGGGGCGCCACGAAGGGCGCGGACCGGCCGACCGCGCAGCCCTTGTCAGCACGATAAGGCACCGTCGCCGTCACAAGCACAGCACTTCAAACGCCGGTGCTTGAACTAACGAAACAACGCGCTCTTAACCGAAAGCAGTGGCAGCGAAGCTCTTCAAAACAGCGCTGCTGAGCCACAACCAGCGGGCGCCGCTGCAAGCAGTGTCGACAGAGCCGAACGCAAGTCCGCGCTCAAAACCGGCTGCTCGTATGACCGCAAACGCAGCAAAGCTGGCGCGAAGCAGGCTTCACGACACTCTGCGGAACAGTTTCCAGCACTGGGCCGTTTGTGGGCAGCGTCTGCACACAGACAGCGGAACATGGCTCGGAAGCACAACACCGATCGTGCCAGCGTGTGCCAACCCTCATCCAAACGCGTGCCGGGCAGGATAATCACGGACTTTGGGGGACTTTACAAACGCTGGACGGCCGCGCAGAACAACTTTTGCTGAAAACAGACGGCCGGTAAGAGCGAGCCTCGGTCCTCCTCCCTCCCTTCCCCGCCATACGATGTCGACGGTGCAGGGTATGTGGGAAGATAGGACATCAATCTACAGCGCCCGGTACAACGCCCGAGCAGCGGCCGCCCGCACACCACCGCCCCCCGCGCGACGGCCCCGCCCCGCCACCCTCTCCACCCGCGCCTGCGGACGGCGCCGTCAGCGGCGGCGACCGCCGCTCCGAAGGCGCGCCCACCTGTGCGGCACCCCGAGTCGGAGAGGCGCAGGTTGGTCCAGACGAGCGTCACCAGCGCGTCCTCCTCGCACGCCTCGCCATCTGGCGGCAGCTCGATGCAGTATAGCCTCTCGTGTCAACCGATCGTCCACACGGCGTCGGCGTCTGCAGGCAGGGAACTCGGGTCAGGCAGTGCAGGGGGGGTGGGGGGGTGGGGGGGTGGGGGTTGAGGGGGGGGACCGGCGGTCCGGGGTGGTACCTTCACCTCACCAGTCGGCTCCCTCGGCTCTCCGGCTCACGCTGGTACATCCGAGGGACGAATTTGGACGCCTGCCATTAGAACATCTAGCAAGAGTTCCGGGACATTCATCGATCACCCGCAACAAGTCACGTTACTGATCCGCAATGCATCTGATGGACGTCACAAGTACAACCACAGCAGCAGTCGCCAAGATCACCATGAGTGGGCATGTGGATAACCAGAAGCAAACAATCGGAGTTACAGGCAGAGAAGTTGTGTTGCTAAACACAGACAAATATCAATGCGAGCCCGAAGTGCGCGACGGGAGGATTCACCATTGATGACAAACCATTTGGGCCATCACCTGGCCTAGAAGCCAGCTCAACAAAACAAACCTACAACCGTTTTTGAACCGCACCGTGCGAGCACATGGACCACTTACGGTTCAACTTTACCAACAGGAAGGTCGGGCTGCCAGGGACGCCCTCTCACCGTGCAGCGTCTGGGTGAAGCCGGCGTCGTCGAGCTGGCAGAGCAGCAGCCGGCCCGGCTCCAGGCCCGTGTCGGCCGCGATCACCGCCTTGAAGTCGGCCACCGATGAGCCGCTCTCCACGCTGAACCCCATCCGCACCTGTCAACAGCGGCGCCATGGCCGTCACGGTGACCATCAGCAGCAGCACCTGTCAACAGCGGCGCCATGGCCGTCACGGTGACCATCAGCAGCAGCACCTGTCAACAGCGGCGCCATGGCCGTCACGGTGACCATCAGCAGCAGCACCTGTCAACAGCGGCGCCATGGCCGTCGCAGTGACCATCAGCGGCAGCACCTGTCAACAGCAGCGCCATGGCCGTCACGGTGGCCATCAGCAGCAGCACCTGTCAACAGCAGCGCCATGGCCGTCACGGTGGCCATCAGCAGCAGCACCTGTCAACAGCGGCACCGTAGCCGTCACGGTGACCATCAGAAGGACGATCATCAGCGCCAGCATCACTGCCATTGGGGCTGCAGAGCCCACGAACGGCTGTGGTCAGTTTGCAGTTGCAGCCAGGGTTACGTTTTTAACAGAACAGGGTTATGAACATGGAGGGAAAATCCCAGTTGAAAGAAATACAATGTCACTCGGGGGGAGGCGGAGGATTATGCGTTGAAGGTGATGGAGACCGGATTGCGAGGCTTGCGTTGGAGAACGTCATGTGATGGCAGGGGGGACGTCCTGCCGGTGACGTGGGTCACGGCTGTGGCGGCGTGTGGACCTTTGATGTGACTTGTGACCCGTACTGCAGGCGATGATAGTGCATGATGACGAATACCATGATATTGGTGTAATGGTTGTGACGTGACGGTGGTATTTCAGCCGCAGCGGTGACGCGGAGGTGATGTGGTGATGTTGATTGGGTTGTGCGGAAAAACTCCGGTTGAGCCAATCACGACGCTGTGGGTCATGCTGCACAGAATGACGCAGCGGCGATGGTGATTAGGGTGCAATAGATGCTGGCAGCTCTCCCTCCGGGGCGATCACAGCACAAGTGCTTTCACGCTCAGAAGATGGCACTGACAACAGCTGTGCGCACCGTCGCACCGCGATGGTTACTGTGACGCAGCCACCTGCCGGTGGCCTGGAGACGGATGCAGCACCCCCAGCCGTCAGCACGCGGCACCGAGGGAGGGCTACTGTGACGCAGCCACCGGCCGGTGGCCTGGAGGACGGATACAGCACCGCAGCCGTGAGCATGCCGCACCGAGGGAGGGCTACTGTGGACGCAGCCACTCGCGGTGGCCTGGAGACGGATACAGCACCGCAGCCATCAGCACGCGGCAACCGAGGGGGGCTACCTGTGAGGCAGCCACCGGCCGGTGGCCTGGAGACGGATACAGCACCGCAGCCATCAAGCACGCGGCACCGAGGGGGCTACTGCGGCCTCAGTGTGTGCACTGAGAGCGGTCACCACAGCGGCCGACCGGCATCGGGGGGAAAGGAGCGCACTCCCGAAAACGCATCATCCCCAAAGGCATCGAATAAGTGACGAAGAGCTTCCTAGCACTACAAGCACGCGCTGGATATCAGATCAAGCGTTCCTCGTACCGTGACCACCACGCGGGTATCAGCCGACAGCGGACACGCCAACACGCACGGAGAGCGCTGGCGAAGCCGCGCCACACGCAGGTTGTCGTCTTGTTGACTCTGCTCAAGGCAATCATCACGCTGGCCTCGTCGTGCGGCCCACGTGACCTCGACGCGGTGGTGGTCAGGCCACCACGTGACCGGCGACATGGTGGCGGCCAGGAGCGCCGGGCGTGCGGGGCCCGGACGGCAGCGTGCGGGGCCCGGCCAGCGCCCGCCGCCGCCCCACCGCTCCCACGCGCCCCCGGCCGTGCCGCTGAGTCACGCCAGCCGTGTGTCTCGGCCACGGACGGGCCGACGGCGGTCAGGCACGAGCGGGCACCGCAGACACGCCGGCGGCCGCCCCCTCACGAGCGCCGGCGCCGACCGGCGGCGGCGCGGCGGCCGTGCGGACAGGGTGTGGCCAGAGGCACCCCGTGCGGGCCGGCCGCGCTCCAGCAGGCCTCGGCCGACACTCGAGACAGGGCGTGCAGACTACCGTACGACCGCGCGCCAGGCTGTTTACCCCAGATGTTGTTTGGCAGCTGTGCAGCGACAAACTGGCGCACGGACTCCACCGTCGGGGTCACCAGAAAGACACCCACCCTAACGTTTCAAAGCACACCAGTCCTGGCCTCCTAACGCACCAAGCGGGCACGCTTACAAACTCAAGCTATATCTCGCGTTTCTAGATTGCCGCATCACGTTCTTCGAACCTTGGTTGCACAGAGCATACACACCGGGCTGACCGCTGATCAGTGGTCGGCAACGACAAGGAGGACTTGTCGGTGCTTCCATGACGGGCAGGGCATCGTTACTAACGCCGGGCAGAAACAGATCGGCTATTATCCGGGCCGGCCTGAGGCTCAGAATACGCAGAACGCCCAGTAGCGCACGGCAAACGGCATGCCGTCTCCTAGTCCGACAGGCCGCGTGGTACGACGGGATCAGCACTGGCTGGCTCAGCTAGTGCACCTTGGCGTGGCGTCACGCTGCCCGGCACCGATGACGGATGACGGGGGGACCCTCGCCCCGACATCTCTCGATATCAGCTTGGTAACAACGTCTGGCAATGCTCACGCACCCGTCAGAAATATGCACAGCTTGGGGTTCAACAACACTACTCATATGAAGCGACACGCCACCACAACTCGAAGATTTGTGAGAACCGGTTGAAAGCATACCGGCCGGCGGTATGAAAGCTCACCTGCTCAATTTTGTCCGCATGCGACACTGACTGATCCTGAATATGCCACCGACAGAACACCAGCGCTCCCTTAGGTCGTTCATGGATTGGGCGTAACGGATCGTGACCGGACGCGTAAACAACCCGCGAGGTCGCCTGATGGGTCCGTAAATCCTGAAAGTTCATGGCCCATTCCGGGCGTCCAAGGACTTTCCCAGACCCCATGGAGGAATGGCGCCGGCCGTGACAACCCGGTGACCTCAAATGGACCCCGATCGCGAAATGCGGCAGCTCCCCCGCCCTCTGCAAACCGCCCCATACGGACCGTCTTGCAGCGGCCAAACAAAGAGCATTGTTCGCTGGAACGCGTCCCACCGCATTGTCTCAGTATCAGCTCACGTTATCGCCCCACGGCCGGTGGTATCAGAGCAGGAGCTTCAGTTTCAATGTCAACCCAAACCGCGTATCAGAGCAAAGGCAACGGCACGGTTGATCTTGCAGGGAGTCCTCGTGCAGCGGACGGCAACAGCGTGGGGAATTTCCGCGTGCCGCGGTCCAACAAGGTCCTGCGGACTGGATGATGCCGCCAGCGCTCACAAGCGCGTCGGAGCGAACGTTACGTGTTACATGTGGAGTGGCGACAACAGATAGGTTTGCAGTCACTCAGGGGTGGCGACAAAGACAGGTAAAGTCTGCCACGCCGCTAGCTGGCGGACTGCGTTTGACGATGTGCTTGCTGCCGCTGCTGATCGGCGCAGGCCAGGGAGACACACCTGTTCACGGCTTGCTACTCTGGTGGGATAAACTAAAAATGTACCCGTGACACCGCTGATTGGTGGATTAGAACAGACATGCACCTGGCGTTGACTGCTGCTTGGTAGTAGTTAACACGGAGTTGTGCCAGCGCGGCTACTGATTGTTGATTCGATGGGAAGAATAACCTGTCGCGACTGACTGACAGGTGTATTCGGACGGGAACCACCCCGTCGCGGCTGCTGATTGGTGGTAAGACTGGAGCCGTACCTGCCGCGGCTGTTGATTGGCGTAGACCAGGGTGACGATGAGCGGCCGCAACTGTCGCTGCAGGATGGGCACGCTCACGCAGAGGAAACGGGTCGAACGTGTTGCTCTCTTCCGACAGTTGGGGCAGCGCAGAGCGACGACCTGCAACGCCAGGACAGAGGCAGCGTCAGGACTCCGGCGCCTCACGCGGGCGCGGTCGACCACGGCCCAGCCTGGCCCCCGTAACTGCCATTGCCGACGACCTGCAACGCCAGGACACGGCCGCGTCAGGACCGGCGGCTCGCGCGGGAGCAGGTCGACCACGGCCCAGCCTGGCCCCCCGTACTGCCATTGCCGACAGCCACGACGCCGGCGTAGCGGCCGCCATACAGGCGCTGCGGGTGGCGTGTGATGCGCCGCTGATCGGCAATCACACTCCGATGCCCCTGAAACAGCCGGCTCAAGCGGTGATCGTATCCGTACTGCTAGAGACAAGGCTCCAAGACGGCGTCACAAACAACAATGCAAAGCAACGCGCGGTGGCGACGGGTGTCACCCCACGGACCGGCGATTTCGGGGCACAAAGCCGCGACTTCCGGCGGCTAACGACGGCCACCAGGCCGCCGCTGACACCCTCTCCAGGCCGGACTGCGAGGCCACCGGATCCCGCGCCGGCCCCACACTGTCCCGCCCGCTGAGCCGAGGGCGTGGCCGGGGTCAGCCGCCGAGCCGGTGGGCCGGTGAAACAACCGGCGCCACAGCCCGGCTCCCGACCGTCCACCGGCGTCGCCACCGTCCGCTAGGTTAGGCGGGGGACCGCAGCAGGGTCCAGGGGCGCCCGCCCCGGTGCCACCGCCGCCCGCTAGGTCAGGCAGGGGACCACAGCAGGGTCCAGGGGTGCCGGCCCCGGCGTCGCCACCGTCCGCTAGGTTAGGCGGGGGACTGCAGCAGGGTCCAGGGGCGCCCGCCCCGGTGCCACCGCCGCCCGCTAGGTCAGGCGGGGGACCGCAGCAGGGTCCAGGGGTGCCGGCCCCGGCGCCGCCGCCGCCCGCTAGGTCAGGCAGGGGACCGCAGCAGGGTCCAGGGGTGCCAGCCCCGGCGCCGCCGCCGCCCGCTGGATCACCCGGCTGATGGCTCCGCCAGACATTAACACTGGTACTTCTAACCCACCGCCAGCAACACTGCGCGCCAGTAATGGCCGTTCGGCTGCGAGCTTTGCCGGCCAACAGCCCGCCCAGTGTTTCGTCAACTACTGCACCGCCGGCAATTCCACTTGTTGCTGCGTCCCCAACAAGCGCAGCTGATGTACTGCTGGGTGCCCTATGTTGGCTCCACCAACGCCAATACCACCGTGTAATCTACCCAACCGACGCAGCTCCAACGACCAGTGGCGCATCGCTAGACGACTTGCTTCAAAGGCCCACATTGCCGCCCATTCACAGCTGCTGCCTCGGATCACGTCACGACCGTTCTGCGCCGCAGACCAGGCCCGCGCCCTCCCCCAACGCCACTTCCTCCCCCAGGGGGAGTCCCGGGAGCGCTGGGACGGCCGGGGGTCAGGGGAGCCGCCTCCGCCGCCGCGCAGCGCCTGGACCGCCGTGCACGGACAGACAAGTTGCATGCAAGTCACGTGCAGATCTGTGCACGTATCGGAAAAGTGGAGCATTCAAGTTGTTATGTAAAAGGGTAGTCACAGTCGGGTCTCAGGCCATCCAGAATGCTGGAAATCCTCTCTGCGGGCGAAAACCCACACTGTTTCGACCAAGCGGAGTACATTGACAGCCCCGGAATCGGGCGCGCTGACGGAGCGTCACTGCAGCGCACGTGAGCTCCGCAGTCGCTGTCGGTTGTTGCCGGAGAAGGTACCGAGATGGCTGACCTTTGGGCGACCGACGCAACGGCTCCCGCCGACGGAGGGATCAACCGAGAGCTTGAGTCAGAACAAAAGGGCGGCCACACTGACCAGGATGGCCGTACGTTTGCTCCAGTCTGCTGAGCCGTATTCAAAAGAGCAGGAAGCCCGCCTCACTGACAGAGATTGTGGAATACCTCGACCAGTTCGTCACCACTGTGTGGCGAGTGCCGAGCGGACAGCTGGGGCGGGGTCCCATCGCCACGGTCCCCACGCTTCCATGTCCATAACGTCCGACAGAACGGAGGATAGGGTTCCGCCGGTGCTTCCTCCAGAAGCATGGAGGTTTTAAAAGACGGGCAATTAGCACTAATGCGAAGCGGTTCTGCTTAACACAAGGGTCAAACAAGCGGAAATGAAAAACATTGGACACTGCAAAACCCCGGCGTTTAGGTGGGATACCGGACCCAGGGTGGCAAGAAGGCCCACGTGGACACCGGAGAGACACCTCTCCAGCTGCTGTCAGAGCAGCTGTGGCCAGAGGCTACAGAGTACCAGATACAGCTTGGACCGCATCGGTTCCAGTACGAGGGTGCGCACCGCGCGCGAGGCTCTACCGTTAGTTCCCGGCCCTGCGCAGCTGAGCTCAGCGACCGCGTCACTACTCGGCCGCTGGACCACCCTCGGCCAGCTGGCAGTTCTTAGTCCGGACCTAACGCCGCTGGTCTCCTGGGTTCCACCTGCGGTCCGGGTCTGGGGAGTCTGAGGAATCTGTCTGGCAACGACAGGGCGGCTGAGGCGGCCTGGTGGGACGGGTGCGCCGCGGCCGATGGGGGAATCTGTCTGACGACAGGGCGGCTGAGGCGACCTGTGGACGGGTGCGCGCGGCGGTGGGGGAATCTGTCTGACGACAGGGAGGCTGAGGCGACCTGTGGACGGGTGCGCCGCGGCGATGGGGGAATCTGTCTGACGACAGGGAGGCTGAGGCGACCTGTGGACGGGCGCGCCGCGGCGATGGGGGAATCTGTCTGACGACAGGGAGGCTGAGGCGACCTGTGGACGGGCGCGCCGCGGCGGCGGGCCGGAGCCACGTTGGTCGCGCCGCCTGGAGCCGCCGCCGCCGCGCCGGGGCGTTGCAGGCAGCGGAGCGACGCTGGCGGGGAGGCCTTGCGAGCCCCCAGGAACAAATGACGCCCAGCCTGGACACGTCCCGGCACTGGCTTCAACTTGCGCAACACAATGTCCGGCATAATGTACCAAAACACACTACCCTGGGTTTTAAAAAAGGTCTGGTGAAAAACCTGTACTCGCAAGTTCTTCAATCATTAAACAGTCCAATGCCACCGCCAAGGTGGTTGGCGTTCGCACAATCCTGGCAGAGGTTCTGGGGCGGATCACCTTTGCAGCGGGCATCGACATCGAGCGACCCTTTGACATAACGATCAACGGAACGCGCTGTATGCGCTGCACACGGTGGTGTTGACAGCGGTAAGACTATGAGGTCAGGTCCAAGCTATCAGATTAAGGTCGCGTCATACAAGGTCCGCCATACATGTCAGCACCCGACCCAGGCACGCTCAGAACCAGAGCTCCGCAAACGTCCTGGACACAGCGGTTGGCAGGACATCGCTAATAAGACAATGAGCTTAAAGCACCATCTGGATGTGCAGTGGTGAGCAATGCAAAAGCATGCAGATGGAAGGAGTGGATGATGAAGATGTCATTCATCAGGTGTATCAATCAAAGAAAGCTCAAAATAAGTATTTAGTTAACTCATCCAGTAGAAATGGTGGTTGGCAAACACATCCCAGTCATACAGCATACATCTTGACCAGGGGTCATACAAGTGGAGCACCCACAATGAGGTAAGCATCCACAAATACACACCAGTCAGCCCTCCACACTTACATAATCTGGCCACTCATTGCTTTGGTAAGACAAGGGCCAGCACTGATAAAAGCCCCTTCTGCTTTTAATGGCACTCAAACTCAACACAAGGGCAGAAAAGTGTGGGCTACAATCAAACTAAATTTTACTTCATGTTATCACTATCACATACAAATTGCATAAATCAAAATGTGGTGCAGTTAACACCTATGCAAGTGAATTTTTTTGAAGTATAACATTTCATCACAAAATATATCACAATGATGCTGTAATTTAACCTTCCAGAAAAGCTGTAGTTTAGACCTTTACACCCCCAAAAGACCTATCATACCACACCATGCACCTGTCAAGAAAAGAATGACAGCAGCAGTACCATGTGATCAGCTTTTTCTAACAGAAGTGGTAAAATGGTTTGCAGCCAAGCTTTCTGTCTGGGGAGGGATGAAACACCATGGCCATAAGTTGGCAGTACCAAACTTATTTGGTTTCAGAACAAACACCACTTAAACAGTTTAAACAACATATGCCCTGGTCTAAACAAGCACAAGCACACTGTGGCCAACAATCAGAGGGTGGTAAATTTAACAATTTGGGCTGTAAATGCAGAATGTACTAAGAGATGGGAGCCAATGTTTCTAAGCATCACTAGCAATACTACACATACTTATACCACAAATATCCTAGAATTGGCAGTCTGAGGTGTTAACACAATACTGCTTGAAAACATCTGCACAGGGATAGAGCGCCCGAGCAAGAGATGAAAACATGTCATGCCCAACAATTCTTTGATGGACAAATTTCAGATGAGAGATAATTATGACTTCACTCCATGTCAAAACATGTATAGGCTTTGATCACAATAATTTCCATATTGCACACAAGATGTGCAAAGAAAATGCCCAAGGAAAATTATAAAAGCACATGCTTAATGGACTAATATACAACCAACAAAAAATAAACTCACAATCACAAACCAAAAATGACATAAGGGTATGCACACAAAACACAAGACCAGAAGTGTTGTGTAGCACATACAGCATAATTTATACAATAAATGTACTTTCAAACCAAAAACACTGCCAATCAGGTCCTCTTAAGGTCCATCTATACCTGAACTGCGCCTGGAAGATGTCCTGGACAAAGCTGGCATTGCATCTCAGGTGATTGGCAAGGGTTTCTGCTGCAACCACCTCATCCGGCCGCCCCAGGGAGCCCTGCAGTGCAAAAATTGGTCAACAACCATGTCATAAAAATGAATTAACTACAGCCTAAGAGCACCAATAATTACAGTAGCACTATCAAAATCAACTATCACCTCAAAATTTGACATCTATGCTGGCAAAATGCTTCCTGTAGTTAATCTTGAA